TCCAGCCTCCGAAATAACGTGCCCTAAAAATTCTAGCCTGTCCCGAAAAAACTCGCACTTAGACCCTTTGGTGAGTAGCCGATGTTCCTCTAAAATTTTAAACACTGCTTCGAGATCTACTAAGTGCTGCTGCTTGTCGCGACTGTAAACGAGGATGTCGTCGAGGTAGACTATCACGCATTTATCTAAGAGTGGCCTAAACGCCTCGTTCATGGTCATCTGAAATGTTGCGGGCGCGTTGGTCAGCCCAAAAGGCATTACCGTGTACTCGAACGACCCGTACCTAGTCCTAAATGCTGTCTTGGCGCAGTCCGACGGTTCGACCCTAATCTGATGGTAACCCCCCCGTAAGTCTATTTTCTAAAATACCCGTGCTGTTCGCAGTTGGTCGATCAGTTTGTCGGCGCGGGGAATGGGGTACCGCGATTTGACTGTTACCCTGTTAAGCGCTCGGTAATCGATGCACATGCGAAACCCTCCGTCTTTTTTTGGTGTGAACAGGATCGGTGCGGCGAACGGTGACGAGCTCGGTCGGATAAACTGCTTCTCTAACAAATAATCTAACTGCTTCCTCAGTTCGTCGCGCTCGGGCTGTGTCAGCCTGAACTGGCGCTGTACGGTTGGCGGTGCCCCCGGTTCTAACTCGATCCTATGGTCATGCGCCCGCTGAGGTGGCAGCCCTTGTGGTAAGTCGTCTGGAAAAATCTCCGGGTACCGTTTCAACAGTTCCTGAAGTTCGGGCGGTACTGCTGCCAACAGTTTTTGAAAATCGCTCGGCTGCTCCTCTTCTTCCACTAATGCTATATCCACTGCGTACACGTCAGCTCCAGCAGCGACAACCCGTTTCATCGTGATGGCGTTGACGTGGACCGTTGAAGACTCGGGTGATCGCCAGCGAGGTAGTTCGACCCAGTTACCACTACTTCGCACGGTGCAGCTACCCGTCGTCTAGTCAATTCGCGGGTTATACCGTCGCAGCCAATCACGCCCCAATAAAATATCGTGCCCATCCAGTGTCGTTGCGAGCATTTCCTGTGTAAACCCGAAGTTCCCTCCGCAGCGGACTTTTACTCGCTCCACCTTTTCCCGTATGGCCAGTGGCGTGCCGTCGACTAAGCGTGCGTCTATCTCAGGTAGGCAACGGTTAAGTGTTAACTGTAGTTTTCGTGCGGTTGCGGTATTAACTAAACTGTGACTCGTTCCTCCATCAATAAAAATCTTCACTGCTGCTCCCTGTATTTTCCCGTGGATCAGTACTGGGCAATCCGTCGCTGTACCCTCCTTATTCATCCGAGCCCGATCGATGGCGTGAATCAGTACTGTGACTCGGTGAGGGTCGGTGCGGTTGGGCGAGCAGGCAGTCTCGTCAGTAGTTGGCCCAACTTCTACTGACTGCTGGCGTTTCCCTGCCTCTGAGACTCCCTCCCCTGCTCTGCTCCCCGGCGCCTCAGCTCCTCTGGGCATTCGCTCTTGCGATGGCCCGGCCTGTTGCAAGCAAAGCAGCGCCCCTTAAACGGTGCGGCAGCTGCATTCGTTGCAACGGCGTGTACAGTGGCGTGCTCGGTCGGTCCCCGAAGGCGATGTCCGTAGTAGGTGCCCGGTCTCGGTCGGCGTAGAATGTCAATTTTCTCGGCGAGCGCGAGAATCTCGTTGAAGTTGGAGAGTCCGCGCAGCATGATTTCGTGCGAGATATCCGGTTTCAGCCCTCCGACGTAACGGTCCACCCGCTCCGCTTCGTGCATGTAGCCGACCTGCTCGCAAAGTGCGAGAAAACCGCTCGTATAATCTTGAACCGACCCGAGCTGCCGCCAAGTGCGCAGTCTCTGACGCGCCGAAATGGAAGCCGCAATCGGCTCGAAGCGCGCCCGAAGCCCTGCGCACCACGCATCCCACGTGCTGTATTGGGCGGTCTCGCAGAACGAACTCCAGGTGATAGCTGGACCCGTGGGCCCTTCCTTGTGCGACGGTGGCTCGTAGGCGCATGGTGACGTCACGATGACTCGCCACCAGTCCATGGCGGGGCCCCTTAGCAGCGAAACTGCATACCGAATCTTCGCGGCGTCCGACTTGACGTAGTTCGCATCGAAGAAGACGTTCATCGTGAAGACCCACGATTGAACCGTCGGACCTCCACGTTGGCTTGGGTCGAAGCAGGGCGGGCGTTGTGGCTTGAGCGGCATTGGTGCCATAATGGCCTGTTCGCCACTTGTCGCCGCGAATTCCACGTGCCGACGGGTTTCACGGGGCTCCCGCGGGCTTGGTACGACCCCGCTTCCTCCCATGCCAGGCATCGGCTGGGCGACGCCATCACTGGCTGCGCCTGAGCGTTGTCCCATGCTCTCGTGTTGCGTTGGTGTGCCGGACGAAATGATGATCGGCTCGTCCGATTGTGCAGATGCATTTGGCAGTGCGTGTGATGTCGCTGGAATGTTCACCGTGGATTGTTGACGGGCGGAGTCACGTTCCGCCGTGAGCATCGCGATTTCGAGTGCCGAGTCTTCAAGTTGGCGCACGAGACGATCAAGCTGCTCCTGCGTCAATGTGGCGAGCGTGAAATCGGCCATGGCGGGGGTGTCGGGCGAGCTCAGCGAGAGCCTCGGTCGTGGCCGTGCGTGCTTACGAGAGAGCACTACGAGCGGCGGTGCTATATCGCTGAGAGACGTCTACCCCCCCCCCCCCCCCAAAAAATTGAGATAGTGGGGAAGCGAAAATGTGGGTGCGGTCCGAGAGGAGATCGTAGGCTCTGAATACCAAGTGTTACGAGTGCAATTGAGTAAGTGAACGAGAATTGCACTATCGAAGCAAAAATACAATGAGCGAAGGCATGAGCGAAGAATATATAGCGAAACTACTGTGGTAACGGTAATGGACTGTGGTTGTAGCGTGACGGGCCTGGGACTGAGGTTTGGGAAAGTGTCGAAGCGGAGGCCCGGAGCGCGGGTTACCAGCCGAGCCGTGAGGTTGGGGTGCGATGTGCGAAAATGGCGGGCTGATTGTCGATGCGAGGGTCGCGAGTGGTAACGGTGCTGACTGTGGTGCTATAGTGATGTACGGGTTGAGCAGGGATGCGAAGTAAGGAAAAATGATTTTCCTTACACAGATCAACTACACCCTCGTGTCGTGAATTGTCGTAAATTGTCAGTTCGCAAGCCTTTCAACGACTCGCGACTACAGTTCTAGTGTACTGAACTCAACTTATCACACAGATGTGGGAACATACAGTAGTATATAATCAATCGCGCTGTACCGTTTTAAAATGTGCAGTATCGCATTACTTACCTTTGACTCTGTCCAGCCCTCCCCGACAGGATTGCGCTGGACACTGGATTTCCTTCCAGAACGTTTAGTAATGGCTGACAGATGATCCAGTTCTCACTCAGGTTGCTGACACAGGAACGGGATGACAGATGAGGTACCGATTCGTTTTGTGTCCGGTCGCGCGCCTTGCAGAAAGTTGATGCTTACTTCAGTCGACTACTTCGCGTTGAAGACGTCTCGACCCCGTAGACTTATAGTCGGATAGGATGCGGCTAGCAAGGCATTGTACTACAGAAGTCTATACTGTCAAGTGGATTTAGGGATCACCAAGAGCAATTTCGTTGAGCAGATAAACTTGACTCACGCATGGTGTGAAACGTAGACACAAGATGCCTTGAAAAGCCTTTTTTAGCGGGAGTTTAACACGATGACAATATTTGTTTTTTTCCAGCAGGAGTTTAACACGACGACAATACTAAACTTTAGCCGGCATCAGAAACTAGCTTTTTGTACGGAATAGCTACTGCCACGTCGGAAAGCGTTGTCTCGTGGCGAAAGTTCAATCGTTGCATTTCGACCGTCGTACCCATGTGATCGCGTCTTAGCTGCGGACTATGTCGACAACGTACAATCGGCCATCGCACCCATCGGACGTGGACGAAATCAGCTTCTCAAGTCCGCCAGCTTTTGCGTCGACTCAAAAGCCGACGACGTACAATCGTTCGTCGCACCCGTCGCACCCGTCGGACCCGTCCGACCTGGACGAAATCAGCTTCTCAGATCAGCGAGACGCCTTCTTTCGCCCGCCGTCCGCGCTCGGAGAGTCCCCTAGCAAATTCTTCCGACGGCGACCGTGGCTGGCTGGATCACAATCCATGGCCGTTCAGCGTTCAATCCGATCCGTTTTACTCCCGATCATCCTGCTCGGAATCTTCGTCTGCTGCTTAATCTACGGTGGGATCTTCAGCGGGTTTCCAGGAGCGAATCTCCGCCGGTTACTGACGGCGAGTGGCGACGATCCGACGGTAGCAAACGTCAACCGGACTTCCTTAGGTGCAGCTTTCAATATATCAGAATCATGCATTAAGGTCCTGAAATCAGCAGCCAGGCTCCCTGGCGCGAAAACGAAGTTCACGCCGATTCAGCTCACGGAGTGCAGCGTAACCTTATGCCAAGACATGCAGAACCTAGCTCATCAGGCATCGCAGCGAGCACTTACCGCAGCTCAAGAACCCGCTTCGGGTCCTAGTTCAGGTTCAGGTTTGGATTCAGGTTCAGGTTTAGATTCAGGTTCAGATTCAGGTTCAGGTTCTTCAGGTTCAGGTTCAGATTCAGGTAAAGGTTCAGGTTCACTGAACCCACTTGCAATCCAGCAGAAGCGACCGTTGAGCCGCGACGAGGTGGAGGAGCAGCAGCAGCAGGGGGACGTGGGTGTGGTGTGCAGCCGAGCGTGGAAGCAGGGCCTTTTGGACCGCGTGCCTGGCAGCCACTTCCTCACCCGCGCGTTTAAGAAAGAGCGGGTTTCTTTGGAGAGTATTTCAGCTGGCGTGGACTCGATTTGCGATAAGGTGGAGGACGTTGAACGGCTGATGGGGAAGAGCTACGCTGGAAGCAGCAGCAGCGGTAGCGGCAACAGCAGCGGCGGCAGCAGTGGGAACGATAGCAATAGCAGCGGCAGCAGTCCGAGTGACCCAGACAGTCCCTGCAACCACTGGCCTGAGGCATGCTGGCCTGTGCCTGGCATGCCGTTTTCCCATCTCTCTGTGAGTGCATTTCATTCACTTCCTTGAGCAATGTCTACAAAAGCTACCCTCTCTCCCTCCCTCCCTCCCTCCCTCCCTCCCTCCCCCACGCTTCTTCCTCCGTTTCCTTGCTGTGAATGCATGTCATGCATCTCTTGACAACCCACTCTCATCTCATCCCTAGCAACCTACAAACCCCCTCATTCCCTTCCCCTCTTCCTCTTTGTTTCTGTTTATGTTATTGTGTGTGTGCGTGTGTGTGTGTGTGTGTGTGTGTGTGTGTGTGTGTGTGTGTGTATGTGTGTGTGTGTTTGCATGCGTGCGTGTGTGTGTGTATGTGTGTGTGTGTGTGTGTGTGCGTGTGTGCGTGTGTGCGTGTGTGTGTGTGTGTGTGTGTGTGTGTGTGTGTGTTTCGATGCAGGACTTTGCCAATCGCAGGTATCTGGTGTTTGCAGCGGTGGAGGAGCAGCTCACCAACGCCAAGATCCATGTCATTGAGGCCGCACGGGTGGCCAGAGAGACCAACCGCATCCTCGTGCTGCCCAAGGTACCTCAGTGATCTAAACGCTTGTCATACTCTCGTGAATTGGCCCCACAGCCATCTGTCACTGGGTCGATCCATGCCCATGTGTGCCTACTGCGACTTGCAGCCGTTGCAACCCCTCCCTCCCTCACTCCCTTCCTCACTCCCTCACTCCCTCCCTGCCTCCCTCCGTACCCTACCCACCCGCTCCTTCTCAGGGGTCCCACAGCCATCTGTCGCTGGGTCGATCCATGCCCATGTGTGCCTACTGCGACTTGGCTTATCTCAACGCCACCGAGTGGGTCTCCCCCGAGTTCTTCCTTCTCCTCGCCCGGGCTGCCTTCGTCAAACCCACTGTCAGCTACCTCTGCGTTGACACTCCCGAGCTCGGCAGACCCTGCTTCGGCACAAGTGAGTCAAGGCCAGGAAGAGAGCACAATTGTAGTCGTGTCAAGGCCTGCCTTCTCCCACCCCACCGTCAGCTACCTCTGTGTTGACACACCTGAGCTCGGCAGACCCTGCTTCGGCACAAGTGAGTCAAGGCCCTGACGATTGCTTTATTCTAGTCCGTTCACGGGCTCTATGGGATACCACTGTGTTGACACTCCCGAGCTTGGCCGGCCCTTCTTTGGCACAAGTGAGCATTCGTGGTAGGGAGAGAGGGGGGGAGATTAGTACGGATGCGAGCGTGTTTGACGAAGGGTTTTGAGACGTCTCAAAACCCTTCTTCAAATTCGTGGTAGGGAGAGAGGGGGGGGAGATTAGTACGGATGCGAGCGTTTCAAGAGCTGCCTTCTACCTTTGTGTGTGTGTGTGTGTATGTGTGTGTGTGTGTGTGTGTGTGTGTGTGTGTGTGTGTGTGTGTGTGTGTGTGTGTGTGTACGCGCGCGTGCGCGCGCGTATGTGTGTGTGTTAACAATTCTGTGCTTGATAGTGAGAGCAATACCATGAATGCACTACTTCATTACGTTCTGTTTGTTGTTCAGATCAGTCATAATTCTCAGAGGGCAATTCCATGAATGCACTAATACATTACGTTCCGTTGTTGTGCTGTCAGTCACGTGACAGACAGACAGTACATTTACAGAACTTGCATTCGTTTATATCTGTATACCGCCCCCTGTCCTCCCTGCGATCTCCGCTGCTCCTAACCTTGCCCCGTGAGCAGTGGAAATTGCAGGGAGTCTGGGGGCAGTGTTCACACTGGCCATGGGGCACGCGCCCACCGGGGGCAACACCTGCTGCTAACCCAATCCTACCCCAATCTATCCTCCCCACAAATGCTCCCCAACCCCCCGTGAGCAGCGGAAATTGCAGGGAGTCTGGGGGCAGTGTTCACGCTGGCCATGGGGCACGTACCCACGGGGGGCAACACCATCTGGCTACACATGCCTGCCCGCTTCGACCAGATCCAGTCCCTGCTCAACGCTTGGTGAGTTGCTGGGGGGAAGCGCAATGCTCGTGTCTTGGCATGGGGCATGGGGCATGCGGCATGCGGCATGGGGCATGGGGCATGTGGCATGGGGCATGTGGCATGGGGCATGTGGCATGGGGCATGTGGCATGGGGCATGTGGCATGGGGCATGTGGCATGGGGCATGTGGCATGGGGCATGTGGCATGGGGCATGTACTCACGGGGGGCAACACCATCTGGCTGCACATGCCTGCCCGCTTCGACCAGATCCAGTCCCTGCTCAACGCTTGGTGAGTTGCTGGGGGGAAGCGCAATGTTCGTGTCTTGGCATGGGGCATGGGGCATGGGGCATGCGGCATGCGGCATGGGGCATGGGGCATGTGGCATGGGGCATGTGGCATGGAGCATGTGGCATGGGGCATGTGGCATGGGGCATGGACCCACGGGGGGCAACACCATCTGGCTGCACATGCCTGCCCGCTTCGACCAGATCCAGTCCCTACTCAACGCTCGGTAAGATGGTAGTGGGAAAGGGTGAGCCGGAGTGGGGCATGGTGAGCCGGCCGGAGTGGGGCATGGTGAGATGGAGTGGAATACTCATCTCTTATCACCAAATACCCCAAAAAGATAACATGTGACTGCGTGAGCAGGAGAGTTCTTCTCCATCCCCCTCTGCAGAAAGCAGAAAGCACAGAGATGTAGTGATAGATTTACACATGACTGCTTAAGCGGGAGACAGTCAATGTCTCATACACACACCTGCCTGTCCTCCCACGCACACCTGTCCTCCCACGCACGTCTGCCATGAGTTGTTCTCTTCTCTTGCTTCTTCTCTACCCCCCTCTGCAGCAAGCACAGGGATGTGATGAAATACGCCAAGAATACATCCGAGCGTTTTGTTTGCCCCCGCTCCTCCTTCCTCCCCCCTTCCCTCTCCTCCGCCTTGCAGGAAGCACAGGGATGTGATGATATACGCCAAGAACACATCCGAGCATATCACCACCAACCACAATCCCATTTTCTCATTTCCCTACCGGCCTCCTCCCCCCAGGAAGCACTGGGACGTGGTGGTGATATACCCCAAGAGCACATACATGGAGGGTAGTGCGCGGGGCAGGCGACATGGCGCACACCATCCTTTCACACACCTACCAACCACAATCCAAGCTCTCATCTACATTCATCCCACTGGGGAAGCACCCACTGGGGAAGCACAGGGACGTGGTGTGGTGGTATACGCCAAGAACACATACGAGCGTTTCGAGCACACGACAAATGGTGCTGCATCTCTCCTACCACAAATCCCGTCCTTTCCCTTCCCGCTTCCCCCCCCCCCAGGAAGCACAGGGACGTGGTGGTGGTATACGCCAAGAACACATTCGAGCATTGAGGCGCCTCAAAACTCTACCCCCCTCTCCGGGAAGCACAGGGACGTGGTGGTGGTGGTATACGCCAAGAACACATACAAGCGTTCTGTTTGCAAGACGGGCGACAAGGAGCATGCACTGCTGCCGTCTGCCCACGAGTGGCCTGGTCTCTCGTCTCTTGAGGCGCCTCAAAAGTTGTCTCCTGTCTTGCGGTTTTGAGGCGCCTCAAAAGTCGTCTCCTGTCTCGCGGTTTTGAGGCGCCTCAAAAGTCATCTCCTGTCTCGCGGTTTTGAGGCGCCTCAAAAGGCGCATGCAGTGCTGCCGTATGACCGCGAGTGGCCTATTCTTTCGTCTCCCCTCTCCCCATCGCCCTCCCTTCCCGCTTTTCCCCTTTCTTCCATTCGCTCCTCCTTCCCTCCCCCCTCCCCCCTTCCCTCTCCTCCGCCTTGCAGGAAGCACAGGGATGTGGTGATATACGCCAAGAACACATATGAGCGTTTCGATCGGGAAACAGACGACATGGCGCATGTGTTGCTGCCGTACGCCCGAGAGTGGCACCTCGCTGCCAAGCGCATCGTGGCCCGCCTTCCGAAACCCTTCATCGGCGTCCATTATCGCTCCGAGTTCATCGCCTTCCGACTGGTATGCTGCCCCTTCTTTGCTGCTGAGGCTTTGAGCGTTAGACGGGCGACATGACATGGCGCATGTGTTGCTGCTGTATGCCCAAGAGTGGCACCTAGCCGTCAAGCGTATCGTGGCCCGTCTGCCCAAGCCGTTCATAGGAGTGCACTACCGCTCCGAGTTCATTGCCTTCCGCCTGGTACGCTCCCCATCTGTCGCTTTTGTGGTGTCTCCATAGCCGTGCCCTTGCTAGTAGAAGCCTGCTGTTCCCTCGCTTGTCTTTTCTTGAGCGCAACGCAAGATGAGACGGTCGACGTTACATGGCGCATGTGTTGCTGCCGTATGCCCGAGAGTTGCACCTTGCTGCCAAGCGCATCGTTGCCCGTCTGCCCAAGCCGTTCATAGGAGTGCACTACTGCTCCGAGTTCATCGTCTTCAGGCTGGTATGCATGCTTCCCATCCATCGCCTTTGAGGCTCTCAAAAGCCGTACCCCTATTAGTAGGAGGAGCCCATGTCCTCCCTTGTCTGTCCTCGAGAGGGAGACAGACAAAGGTGTTGTGTCTCATCACATGTGGTGTTGTGTCACATGTGGTGTTGCTGCCGAATGCCCGAGAGTGGCATCTCGCTGCCAAGCGCATTGTTGCCTGCCTGTCCAAGCCGCTCATTGGAGTGCATTACCGCTCCGAGATCATTGCCTTCAGGCTGGTATGCTCCCCATATGTCGCTTCTTGGGCGCCTCAAGAGCCATACGGATGCTAGAGAGGCGTGTTCCCTCCTTTGTCTCCTCTTGAGAGGGAGAGTTTCCACGATCTTGGTTCCACCTCCTTTGTGTATGTGTGTGTGTTTATTTTTCCTGTGCAAGGCTTAGTGTCACTGTCTTTCGCTCTTGGGATTTGTTCCTTTGCAACATCCACTCACCATCACTATTACCATCCCCATCACCATCCCCATCACCATCACCATCCCCATCCCCATCGCCATCGCCATTGTCATCACCATCACCATCACCATCACCATCCCCATCCCCATCCCCATCCCCATCCCCATCCCCATCCCCATCCCCATCCCCATCACCATCCCCATCACCATCCCCATCACCGTCATCAGGCAGGTGAAAACAGAACCGACATCCCAGTCGAGGAGAGGCTGAAAATTCTCAAGGATCGCACCAGGTGGTGCACCAAAGAAGCTGCCCAGAAAATAAACAAAGTAAAAAACAGGCACAACGCATCCACCGTATTTCTGGCAGCCGATATTCCGTACAATCAGTCCGGCGTCACGCCTCGGTCGGAGTCATGGGACGCTCTGAAATGGGCGTTTGGAGATAACAATGTGTCGGATGTGCCTCACTATTGGCTGTCCTGGTTGCGCAAGAAAGTGAAAGGGACTGTCATGATTGATGAGCTTATGCCTTCGGCAAACAGCCTCGACCCAGGTGCGTCAAACTTATCATTTTTCACCCATTATCTATTTTTTGTGAAGTTGTGGCTACATTTGACGTCTTTTGCGATATTTCCTGGCAGGCATCGTGGCCATTTTAGACAAGCTGGTTTGTGCGCGGTCAAGCATCTTCCTTGCCGGCTCCATATCTTGTGGAGGTGGCCGGGGTTTCGAGAAAGATATATTACTTCACCGTGACAGCTTGAATAAAAGGCTAGATTTTGTTAGATGGGCTGCCGGGGAGAAACCCTTTTAGTATTACGGTAGTCTGTTAATGAACAATATGGTGTGTCTTGACTTAGAAATGACAAAGAAAAAATTGTGAAAAATGGTAGTACTGGAATCGAATGCTTTTAACGCGTGGTTCAAACAATTTGTGGTGTGGGTCATTATCCCCGGTGCGACGTGTCGTTCAGGATTGACTGCCAATCAAAGGCGAGGTGACGTGTGAAATTTATGACGTGTGGATCTCGGGGCAATCCAGCATCGCTTCCCATTCGTATTTCACTGATGAGAATGCCTGACATGCCTCAGATTTCTTACTAAAGCTCCTTTCCAAAATTTAGGGGCGTACTCACACTAGAGTTTCAAATACTGGTTTGAACCTCGTTTTCCTGATTGTGCTGGGTTGCGTTTCCAGAGCAAATCGTCGACTGGAAAGACCTGTCACCACAGGAGGCCACGTACTTCACAGTATGACTGCATTTCAATTTCGTATCACTGGATTCACAGGTTCAGAATCTTGTGATCCGAAATCGGGACGTTCTGCTACCAACGATCTGGAATACCTCTTCACACTCACTACGCATTCCATCTTCAGCTTTCTGACCAGCCTTGCATTCGTCTGAGAAATACCTCACTGGTTTATGCCTTCAGAATCTATTTTGAGAGGCTAGCTTTCCTGGACTTACTCCTCTCATCCTCCACACATTCAGAACCGTTTCGAGGTTCTGTCCTATTCTACCAAATGGCCGCTTCAACGCTCTCCGCGTCCGTTGCTCAGGCCGCCGTTGCGCTTCAAAGTAAGACAGTGCTAGCTGGCAAGTCCGATTGCTCTGGTCTATGGAGCCTGTCCATGCACAAGATTCGCGTATCCGTTCTCCGGTCTCAGCTGTTAGTTAATTATTGTAATGAAAGTAGGAACATGAGGAGATGTCGCCGTTCTAGAATCCTCGCGCCTTATTTATACATGTTCGGCTCTGGCGCAAGCATCTTCCGTATCTAGTTATATGTATAAGAAGGACACCCGCACTGGCACGAAAATAAGACTCCCTCCAATGCTCTGGTCATTTTTGGAAAATAAGAATCCCTTCATTCTATCCGCTGCTCCTTCGCAGGCAATGGCAGCGTTCGTACCGAACGGATCTCCTCCGCAGCGGCTCTTTTCCCCTCCAGAGTCGCTGGTCTCTCCGGTGAGTCCGTTTTCCTGACCACTTTTTCGCCTCTTAACCCCTTGAGGTTGCCGGTGGCTCTTCAGTTCGTTCATTCTAGCCATTCCTCTGCAGGGGCCACGTGTCCACGTGACCATTCGTTTACGTGGCGGTGTGTTCACGTGGTTATGCGTTTACATTCGGTCATGTGGTGATGCTGTCACGTGGCCATGCGATCGTATCTACTCCTCTCTTTCCGTGATGCCTCACGCGCGCCATTGTTTGGCCTTAACGCGTTTTGGCCCTCGCCCCCTCCCTTTCTCCGCTTGCCTCTCCTTCTCCCCACCCTGCTTCCCTCTCCACCCATCTTTTCCCTACTTTCGTCCCCGCCCCACCCTCCCCTTCCCGTTCCTAACTTCCCCCGCCTCGTCCGCCTTCTCCGTCCCCTCCACCTCCCTCCGCCTTCGCCTCTTCCGCCTGCTCCCGTTCCGTCCGCCTCCTCCGCCTCCGCATCTTCCGCCTGATCCGCCTCCTTCCCCGACCACAGCCAGCAGCCCCGTGTCTCGCAGCGCGCGCACGCCCGGCAGCGGGGTCGCGAGGAGAGCCAACCGGGTGGCGCCACGTGCGTCCGCGGACGCAGAGGAGCCGGTGACCATTGACAACTCGACCGGTGAGATTTGGGTACCCTGAGAATCAGCTACTCAAGTCGTTACATGGTAACCAGAGGGCGTGTTTACGGTACTGCGTGGGGAACGCATAGGAGCTGGTGACCATTGACAACTCGACCGGTGAGATTTGGATACTCGTGTGTAATCAAGTACCGAAATGACCAGAGGGGTGGTTTAGGGTATGATTGGGTGGATGCGGGAGGGGAAGGGCTAGGGAAGGGCAGAAGTGCCGGTGACGATTGACAACTCGACTGGTGAGATTTGGATACTCGTGTTTAATCAAGTTCTGAGATGACCAGAAAACGGGTTTAGGGTATGATTGGGTGGATGCAGAATGGGAGGGCGAGGGAAGGGCAGGAAAGCCGGTGACGATTGACAACTCGACTTGTGAGATTTGGATGCCCTTGTCTAGTGAATGTCTCAGTTAACCAGGGGATGGGTTGCGGGTATGATTAGGTGGATGCGGAAGAGGGTGAGCAGGGATGGGCAGAAGTGCCGGTGACTATTGACAACTCGACTGCTGAGATTCTAGCTTTTCAGTCTAAGTAGCAAAACCAGAGAGAGTGTTTCGGGTAGAGCGGCGGGATAGGGTGAGGGATGGGGAGAAGGAGGAGAAGGGTTGTGGGTATATGGATGGACGGGTCAGTGATAGGAAAGATGAAAGAGGCGGAAAATTCACCCGAGTACGTTTGCTGAACAAGATGAGGAACATTGCGGAATGAGGGTACCACACAAGTCCATCAGTTGGAATGGACTGACATTTCATGGAGCTTTTTAGAATTCTTAAAAACTCCGTGGTATACCTTGGGAGGAGGTAGCGTGAGTCCCACACACTCTCTTCCCTATCTCGCCCGTCGCTCCTCCTCACACTCTTTTCTTCCATCTCGCCCTTGGCCCACTGTGCTCGTGGTCTGCGGAGAGGGGGGGGATGGGGGGGTAAACGGGATGAAGGTGGTGCGGTAGCCGGCTGAAGCTGGGCGATGTTGATAATCCCAATAGCACAGAAGTGCGTGGGGTGAGAACGTCCTGAAGTGATTTTTTTATCTCTCAACAACCCTGACAGTCACAGTGCTTGTGGTGGGTGGCGGTGGAGTGGGAATGGAGCTGGTGCGACAGTTGGCCAAGGCGGGATCGTGGGTGACAACACTGCAGTGGGGGGAGAAGGTTTGTTTGATTGTGATGATCCCATCTTCAACCCACTCTTCCCCCCTAACGTGCTCCATATGTGTGTGTGCAGTGTTCGTGGTGGGTGGCGTAGGAGTGGGACTTTTGAGTCGACTCAAAAGTCACTCTTCCCCCCTAACGTGCTCCGTATGTGTGTGTGCATTGTTTGTGGTGGGCGGCGGTGGAGTGGGAATGGAGGTGGTGAGGCAGCTGGCCAAGGCAGGCTCGTGGGTGACGGCGCTGCAGAGGGGGGGAAGGGGGAGAGTGCCTAAATCTGATTATCTCATCTCCACCCATTCCCTCCCCCCAATTCGCCCTGCACAGTGCTCGTGGTGTGTGGTGGTGGCATGGGATTGAAGGTGGTGAGACAGCTGGCCAAGGCAGGCTTGTGGGCGACGGCGCTGCAGAGGGGGAAGGAGCCTTGAATGCAACTTACCTCGCCTCTCACACACTCTCTCCCTCTATCCTGCCCCGCATTCCCTGCGCTCCCCCCTTACTGAAGACTCTGTTCTTGCAGTCCTTGTGGTGGGTGGCGGCGGAGTGGGAATGGAGGTGGTGAGGCAGCTGGCCAAGGCAGGCTCGTGGGCGACGGCGCTGCAGAGAGGGGAGAAGTTCTTATAGTGATTATCTCATCTCATCTCCCACCCCCTCTCTCTCCTCGCATCCTGTCACCCCGCTCTCCCCTCTCAGTCCTCGTGGTGGGTGGCGGCGGAGTGGGAATGGAGGTGGTGAGGCAGCTGGCCAAGGCAGGCTCGTGGGTGACGGCGCTGCAGAGGGGGGAGAAGTTCCGCAAGGAGATTGAGGGGCTGGGGGCCATGCTCGCCATTGGGGACGTGATGGCGCCGGGAACGATAGAGAAGGCGCTCAGAGGAAACACATTTGACGCTGTTGTGTCCACCGTTGGTGAGTTGGCGGCAGTGGGCAGTGGGCGTGATGGTGTGTGTGTGTGCTGTAGAGCCCGACAGGGGAGATTGAGGGGCTGGGAGCCATGCTAGCTATTGATGGCTCCTGGCACGATCGAGAAGGCCCTCAGAGGAAACACCTTTGACGCTGTTGTCTCTACCGTTGGGCCTCGTGGGTGGGTGAGGCGCTGCAGAGGGGGGAGAAGGTGCTGAGATCGAGCACCTCTGATGCTGTCGTCTCTACTGTTGGTGAGAGTCACAAGGAAGTGGGCATGTATGTGTGTGAGTGAGGCAGTGAGCGTGTGTATGTATGTCATGCTGCTAAGCAGGGGAGATTGAGGGGCTGGGTGTTTTTAGACGTCTCAAAACACTCCTTCTTTCAAGCATGAGAGATTGAGGGGCTGGGGGCCATGCTGGCTGGTGGCGACGTGATGGCGCCTGGAAAAATCGAGAAGGCGCTAAGAGGGAACACCTTTGATGCTGTCGTGTCTGCCATTGGTGAGTCATGAAGATACTGAGGGTCGAGTGAGTGAGTGTGTGTGTGAACGTGAGCATGAGTGTGAGTGTGTTAGTGCGTGTGTGTTGCAGCAGGGGAATTTGAGGGGATGTGGGCGATGCAGGCTGTGGGCGATGCAGGCTGTGGGCGATGCAGGCTGTGGGCGATGCAGGCTGTGGGCGATGCAGGCTGTTGGCGATGCAGGCTGTTGGCGATGCAGGCTGTGGGCGATGCAGGCTGTTGGCGATGCAGGCTGTTGGGGGGTTGTGATGGCGCCTGGCATGTTAGATAGCTCAGATAGCTCCAGAGGTGCTACGAGGGGAAAGCTCAGATGGAACACCTCTGGTGCTGTCGTGTTCACCAATGGTGAGAGTCACAGGGGAGTGCGTTTTTGTTTTCTTGTGTGAGATGAAAAAGGCAGAGGTGATGTTGGGGACAGGGGTTGTGATAGGGCTCAGAGGTAACATGGTTGAAGCTGTTGTGTTGTATTCTTTGTTGGTGAGTTGAGGGGGATGTGTGTGTGTGTAACAAGACGCTATGTGTGATGTGACTGACTATATTCATTTGTTTGTGTGTTTCGTGTGTTACTCTGTGCAGGAGGGGGTCTGACAGACATCAAGGTAGACTCGGTAAGTGATATGCGTTGCTACGTATGAAGCGGGTTTCTGCAATGCGTTACTGGAATGCTGTGTTACTGGGATTACAACTGCGTTATAGCCCATCCTTTGCTCCTCCCCGCATGCTTTATTTTCCTCGTCTGCCTCTCTTCCTCCTACTTCTTCCACCTTTAATAGACTTCTGAGACGTTTCAAAAGTCCTTAGCTCCTCCCCGCTTGCTTTATTTTCCTCGTCTGCCTCTCTTCCACCTACTTTTTCCACCTTTAACAGGACGGCAACATTCACAGCATTGCAGCAGCATATCTGAAAGGCATGTTGCACATCTGAAAGGCATGGTCTTAGCTTGTTTTTCTTCCTCCTCTTCTCCTCGCTCCCTCCCACCCACCTTTGACAGGACGGCAACAACAATGTCATTGCAGCAGCAGAGAAGGCCGGTGTTCCTCGCTTCGTCCTTGTGAGTGGATTTGCTGAAATTCTTGAGGCGCCTCATAAATTGTTCCTCGCTTCGCCCTTGTGAGTGGATTTGCTGGTTGGGGAGTGGGAGTGGGAAAAGGAGGGATGGAAAGAGGAGGGAGGAAGGGAGGGAGGAAGCGAGTTGCTGGTGCATCAACGTTGTTGCGGATGCAGAGTTTTGAGACCTCTCAGAACTCTACTTTTATCACGCCTTTGCAGCTGCAGAGAAGGCCGGGGTTACTCAATTCGTCCTTGTGAGTTGGTTTGCTGGAGGGGAGGGGAGAAGGAGGTAGGGAGGTGGGATGGAAGGGAGAGAGAGAGAGAGAGAGGGAAGTGGGGGAAGGGAGGGAGGGAAGGAAGAGGTGGGAGAGGAGGGAAAGAGGGAGGAGAGGGCTTGGGGGCAGGGTGGTTGCGGGAAGGGGAGCGAATGGGAGGGGTGTGTGGGAGTCTTTCGTTTCATTCTCACAAGTTGTTGATTTGAGATGAGGAGAAAAAGTGGGGGGGATTGGGAGAGTGGGCTATAGAGTGGCTGGTGCTGGTAGAGAAGGAGAAGAGTGAGGAGGAGGGGCCCACACCCAGGGCCCACACCCAGGGCCTCTCCATCTTTGCTTATGTTCGCCATACCACCCTCCAGGTGCTTATGTTCGCCACACCACCCTCCAGGTGTCCAGCATAGGAGCAGGCGACAGCAAGGCGGCAGTGCCTGGGAAGGAGATGGACGCGCCGGGGCCGGTGCTGGCAGAGAAGGAGAAGAGCGAGTAGCAACCCAACCCACCTTCTCTTCTCTTTGCTTCTTTTATCTCGCCTTGATCCCCTGATCTCCGTCTCTCCCCTGCACTCTCCACTCAGGTGTCTAGCATAGGAGCAGGCGATAGCAAGGCGGCGGTCCCAGGGAAGGAGATGGACGTGTTGGGGCCGGTGCTGGCCGAGAAGGAGAAGAGCGAGGAGCGGCTCAAGGCCAGCGATAAGCTCAAATGGACCATCGTTCGCCCAGGAGGGCTGCTCTCAGATGTAAGGGGCGAGGAGATGGGTGGGTCCAGGGCTGTGCGCGGCTGCTCTCACATGTGAGCCTGCTCTCGGATGTGAGCCTGCTCTCGGATGTCTGACGTTGAGAGGCGGGTATAATAAGAGCAGGAGAGGAGCGTCTGAAGGCGAGTGATAAGGTCAAGTGGACCATCGTTCGCCCAGGTGGCCTGCTCTCAGATGTGAGTTCACTCTGCTTTGGCTGGAGGGGAAGGGATTGTTTCCGGGGAAACACAGGTTTAGGGAGAGGAGAGGAGCGGCTCAAGGCCAGCGATAAGCTCAAATGGACCATTGTTCGCCCAGGAGGCCTTCTCTCTGATGTAAGGCGCGGAGGGCGGTGAGGTGTGATCCTGCTTTGGGACGTAGGCCTGTTGGCCGAGTAGCACTAGGGCGAGAAGCGGCTCAAGGTCAGCGATCAGCTCAAGTGGTCCATCGTCTGCCCGGGAGGACGTTCTGCTGAAATAGGGCGGCTTTCAGATGTAAGCATGTTCTGTTCTTGGTTTGAGGGGAACGGCTAGGCTTCTGAGGAGAGACAGGAGCGGTCGAAGGCGAGCGATCAGCTCAAGTGGTCCATCGTCCGCCCAGGAGGCCAGCTGTCAGATGTTAGGGGTGAGGAGGGAGGTCGGATGTAAGCCAGCTGTCAGGTGCCAGCATGTTTCCCAGATGTAAGCCTGTTGTCAATCTCTCCATCCAGTGTGCATCCCGCTCCTCATCCTCACCAACCCCCTAACTCCCACCCTCCCACTTCCCCTCCCCCCTCCTCTCCCCTTCGTCCTCGTGCCTTCCTCCAGGCGAGCAATGGCTCGGGCATCTTCAGAGGACAGCATCATGGTAGGGAACATCTGGATCTCTTAGTCTACTTGAAAAACACTTCCTGATCTACCCCATCTCACCCTCCTCTCTCTCTTCTCCTCACATCTTCCTCCTCCAGGCGGCCACTGGCACAGGCATTCTCACAGAAGACAGCAGCGTGGTGGGGGTCATCTCCCGTGCTGACGTGGCACAACTGGTGAGTCATCTCCCGTGCTGACATGGCGCAGCCCGTGAGTCGCCACCTGGTTGCTGAACACTATAGTGACTTGTCTGAGAATTAATGAGGTTTGAACATGTCTGCCTGTGCCCAAATTAATCCATCCCTACACCTGTGCCAAGCAACTCTCCATCAGATTTTCCAACTTTCTATGAGGAGAAGGCTGAGGGAGTTTGAGATGCTGCAAATTCACACCATCCCTCCGTGCACACGTTCCCATCCCCCCACCGTCCCTCCCTGCATGTATATGCCCACCACCCCACCATCAGATTTTGCGCATTCTCTTTGAGGAGAAGGCGGAGGGGAAGGTTTTCTCTGCCATTGATGCACAAAAGGTGGGTGTGGTGATGTTTCTCAAGCGCTTCGTATATTCGTCCCTCTATCTCCCCTCAGTCTGTACGCATGCCACAAACATGTTAGCTACCACCCCACTGCTGTTTGTAGTGGTGTTGATGCATACTCTTGCCCTCCACTCTCCTCATACCGAATCCTGCTGTGATTCGTGCAGAAATTTCCTGGAGCACCCGAGAAGGAAATTGTTGAGTTCAAGGTGTAAAACATTCCTTGATCTAGTGACATTCAATGTTAGGATATTTTCTGTGATTGAACTTCTCCTGAGAAGGATATTGTAGAAATGTGTTTGAAATAGGTATGTCTTATCCTAAACATTCCTTCTGCTGCGATCAAAAGATGATCAATACCAGAATCACCTCAGGAAGGTTAGCACACTTCTAGTTTAGTGGTGGTGGGCCCTTGAATATAAAATGCTTGAGATGATGAAACATGCAAATGCAGCGATATATATAAGAGTACAGGGGAATACGAATTGACCTAGCTAGCCATGTACTCTAAGGGGTACATTCCCTTCTTCAAATTCATTCCCAACCGTGCGCCGCGTACAGTTACGAAACTGTTCCCGCCAGAATCCTTCTGCCTGCAGCTGCCCGATGCCGTCTGCTCCGACGGTCCAGATGCATCTCAACCGTCTGACGTTTCGAGTCAACTCTAACTCTTCACATTCGTTCTCGATACTGCATGCTTCTTTAGCTGCGGTCGGGAGTGCACTATAATCTTCATTTATTGCTATTCGTAGCACCCCCCTTCACTTCTGGTCGTAGCTCGACTTGACCTGCTTGACCACGCCGCTGAGTTTGGAGCAGTGTTGGTACTGCTGGCGTGGCAGTCACTTCATGAGAAAATCTGCTGCCATGTCACCGGTCGGGCAATAGGTCAAGTCAACCTTGCCCTTGTCCACTTCGTCCTTCACGAAGAAATACCGCAGCGCAATGTGTTTGGTGCGGTTGACGAAACCAGGTTTGTTCGCGATGCGAATCGCGCTCTGGTTGTCGCAGTGAAGGCGAAAGGTGGGCGAAGCTGGAATTTTCGCCTCCTCCAGAAGTTCCTGTAGGTAGAGGCCTTCGCGAACTGCTGCGGTTGCTGCGATGAATTCCGCTTCGGCTGACGACAAGGCAACCAGCTCCTGCTTCTGCGAGTTCCAGGAGATTGGTCCCGTTGGTTCGAGTCGGAACAGTAAGCCAGTCCTGGACCGTCAATTGTCGGGATCTGCTGCGTGATCGGCGTCCACGTAGCCGATCAGGTTGAAAGATGGGGTTGGTGCAGTTGAGTAGCACAGCCCGATCTTGGGCGTTGAAACGAAGAACTGTAGGGCGCGCTGCAGGTCTAGAAGATTCTCAGCCGTTGGTTTGCGTGAGTACTGGGCCAGCTGACTTGCGATGTAGGAAAGGTCGGGCCTGCATGTGATAGAGGCAAAGAGCAGGCATCCAAGCTGCTGCTGGTAAGTCTGAATTCCAGCAGGAGATAGGGCTTTGTTGTCAGGTTTGTGGTTCGGTCCCGGAGTTCGATAGGGAGTTGAGAGCGGTGCAGGCGAGATGTTGAACCGCTTCCCTAACTCCTCTGCGTACTTAGCCGCTGAAAGGTGAATGGCCTCAGGTGCGTAGGAGATGTTGAGGCCTAAGAACTGCTTCACCTCGTAGTTGCACGTGATGTCAACGCGCCTCGCCAGGCTTTTCTCGAACTGCTCGAGTAACTCGTTGCTTGATCCCGTGTAAATCAGGTCATCGACATAGACTGTGAGGAGAATGTATTCGCCGTGGGAATCGCGGTGATACATTCCTGGATCGTGCGGCATCTGCTTGAACCCGATTTCAAGCAGAATGTTGTGCAGATACTGATGCCAAAGCCTTGGTGCCTGTTTTATCCCGTACAGGGATTTGCGCAGCTGGCATACGCGCGAATCCCCTTCGCCGTACGTGTGCGGCTGCTCCACGTAGATTACGGCGTCTACTAATGCGTACAGGAACGCATTATTGACGTCAATCTGGCGGAGAGGTAGGTGCCTTGCGGCTGCGATGGCGAGCAAGATTCGGACGGAGGTGTGGCGGCTGACTGGGCCGAACGTCTGGTCGAAGTCGATGCCGTGCCTCTGGTCGTATCCGCGTACCACCCAACGCGCCTTGAAGCGCTCGATCGTTCCGTCCGTTGCGGTCTTCACGAGGAAGACCCATTTTCCTGAAAGAACTATTGCACCTTTGATTGCCGCTCGGTCGACTAACACCTAGGTGTCTCGGGATTCGAGCGCCTTGATTTCCGCGTCCATTGCCTCGCGCCATTCTTTGCTGTGAGGTCCCGTGAGAGCTTGGCGTGGGTTTCGTGGCTCGATGACACGTGGCGCCTTCGAGGTTGCGGTGTGAAGCCCGAGCAGCTACAAACCTGAAACGGTGCAGTCGTGGCGACGTTGCGGGATGACTTCCTACACATCGTCGTCATCGCTCTCTGGTTCAGGTGGTGCAGGTGGTGCTGCGCCACTGTCGCTTCTGCCTGTTCCGCCCATTCCTCCTCCAGAGGAATAGTCGTCGTCGTCGTCGTCGCTGCTGCGATCTCCCCGTGTGAACTCGCCCCTGGTGTCCTGCTCCAGGATTGCTGCCGCAGCTTCGTCCTCGGGCGTTGCATAGCTGTGCCCGTCGTTTGCATAAACACGGTTTGCATTCGTCTGCTCGTCGTGGCGGAACTGGTCGAGGAAGAGGCGTTCGTAGAAAATCACGTCGCGAGCGTGGGTGGTCTTCTGACTGAGCAGGTCCAGCACGATCCACGCTTTGTGCTCGTGGCTGATGCCGAGGTGAATGCCCCAACGTGCGCGGCTGGCGAATTTGCCAATGGTTCACGTTGGCGGGCGGTATTGGACCATGGAACCCCACACGCGGAGCATGGACGTGTCTCCCTTGGTCCCGGTCCACTTTACGTTTGGGGACGGGTTGCTGGTGATGGCGGTGGTTGACAGTAAGTTGTGCACCCGCACGGCGCGGTGCATCGCGTAAGTCCAGTAGATCGGCGGCAGTTTTGACTGCTTCATCAATGCTCGCACCTTCTTCATGAGCGTGCGGTTCGTCCGCTCAGCTACGCCCTGCTGCTGGTATGCTTAGGGGAGAGAAATATGGTGCTCGATCCCCTTTTGCGCGAGGTAACTCTGCATCTGATTGCTCCTGAATTCCTTTGCGCCGTCAGATTGCCAGATTTTCAGCTTCTCCCCAGATTGTCGCTGCCCGTGCGCAAGCCAGAGGCGGAAGACCTCATAGGCTCTGTCGCGTGTTTCAATGTTCACGATCCACACATAGCGCGTCCCGGCGTCGATGAAGGTAAGCGTGTACATTTCGTCATCGACTCCGCAGTGCCCCACGTTCAGGAAATCGTTGTACACTTTGTGCAGCTTGGGGTAGCGGTTCGTTCCTGGCTCGAGCAGCGGGAACGGCTGGTGGTTTAGTGCAGCTTCGGGGCAGACGGTGCAGTTGCACGGATGTGTTGCGCCCCTCACTTCAGTGCCATCTGGGCGGATCAGCGCCCAAGGAGCGAAGACTCCTGCGTCGATGCAGTTCTTCAATGTCGCACACAAAGGATGTCCGAGACGCTGATGCCAGAGCGCATCGTCAGCGCGAAAGCCGGAAGTGCGCATGTAGCGTGCGCGAGCTTCTTCGGGATCCTCATAAGGTACAAGGGCATGTCAGAACATTATAGCTTATGCATTTGTGTAGGTTGTAGTGGGGTAATCCATAAGGGGTACAACCCAATTAGGGTTAGTACTTGTACCCAACTCTTTCATAGTTCAATCATTCTCGTTCTAGTTTTCTCATGGTATCGAGCAGGTTCCCTCGTAGGAACTGTTCCTAGGGACCGATATTTTTTTTCCTGCCCGGAGCGCGCCTCACCCTAGACCGAGTCGCGCGCGCCCCGCGTGCCCTCCCTACCGTTGTGCCGCCCTTAGCGGCCCCCTCTCACGGCCCCTTAAGCCGCTCTTACGGCCCCGTGCACCGCCCTTGCGGCCCCGCGCACCGCCCTTTACGGCCCCGCGCACCGCCCGTCGGCCCCTCGCGCTGCCCGTCGGCCCCGCGCGCCGCCCTAGCGGCCCCTTGCGCTGCCCGTCGACCCCGCGCGCCGCTCTATCGGACCCTTGCGCCGCCCGTCGGCTCCGCGCGCCGCCCTTGCGGCCCTTCGAGCCGCCCGTCGGCCCACCGTGCGCCGCCCTTGCGGCCCCTTGCGCCGCCCTAGCGGCCCCGACGCCTACTCCTGCGGCCCCGGCGCCGCCCTTCCCGGCCCCGGCGCCACCTCAGCTGGCCCCGTCGCCTACCCCTGCGGCCACGGCGCAGCCCTTCCCGGCCCCGACGCCGCCTCACCCGGCCCCACCGCTGCTGCTCCACCTGGCCCCGCCGCCGCTCCACCTGGCCCCTCGAGCCGCCTTCTGCGGCCTCCTCGCGGCCCCACCGCCACCCTTTGCGGCCCCTAGCGGCCGGCCACCGCCGTCACTGAGTCAGGAGCCGTCGCCGCCGCCGAGCCGCCCAGCAGCCGAGCCGCTGAGCCGCCGAGCCGCCCAGCAGCCGAGCAGCCGAGCCGCCCGCACCGCCGAGCCGCCGAGCCGCTGAGACGCCCAGCCGCCCAGCAGCCGAGCCGCCGAGCCGCCCAGCAGCCGAGCCGCCCGCACCGCCGAGCCGCCCGAGCCGCCCTGTCCGGTAAGAGCAGCGCCTCTGTCACTGCACTGCCCTTACCCTACTGTTCGCACTGCTAGTCTACTGCTGTCATGGCTACCCCTAATGTCCTCGCTTTTGACGCTGAGGGTCGGGCCATTGACTTTGACGTCTGATACATGACCTGCAGCTTTTCTTGCAGTGCGATAGGGCAGACGGTCTCTCCCTCTTTGACCTCACCTCTGGTGCCTCTCCTGCCCCTGCTGCTGATGCTGACGCCACTGTTCGCTCACAGTGGGCCACACGCGATGCTCCTGCACGTCTTGCTGTGCGTCGCCACCTGCCTACCTCTGAGCGTGCGCACTTTAGCCAGTACAAGAGTGCTCAGACCTTGTACGATGCTGTAGTTGCACGCTACTCCTCCCCTACCATTGCTGCACTGAGCCGCCTCATGTTACCGTACCTCTTCCCTGACCTTGCTGCCTTTCCCACAGTCACTGACCTCATTACACAACTCCGCACTAGTGACACTCGCTACCGCGCTGTGCTTCCTGCTGAGTTCTGCGCCAAGAACCCCCTCCCCCCCCATGTACATCACCCTCTACTATATAGTCGCCCGTCTCCCTGACTCCCTCCACATAGTCAGGGACCACTTTCTCTCTGTTTGCCCCACCACTCTCACGGTTGACCTCCTCAAGAAGGCCCTCCTAGCAGCAGAGAAAAGCATAGTCGCTGTAGGAGCCTCTCGTGATGACCCCCGCACCCCCGTCTTTGAGGGGTGTTCTCCCTCCCCCCTCTTGCCCTCTGTTGCTTCTGCTGCTGCGGCCGACCTCGTTGGTTTCGAGTCGGTCGGCGCTGCGTCTGCCCCTTCGGGGAAGCGCCGCACAGGCAAGGGCAAGGGGGGCAAGGGCGCTGGAGGAGCTGGCGGGGGCGGTGGAGGTGGCGGTGGAGGCGGCGGAGGGAGTGGGGGTGGTGGTGGGAGTGGTGGCGGGGGTGGAGGTGTCGGTGGCGGCGGTGGAGGCGGAGGCGGAGGCGGCGGTGGCGGTGGGAGCGGAGGTGGCGGAGGTGGCGGCGGAGGAGGAGGCGGAGGCGGAGGAGGTGGTCGGGGTGGCACTGCGCAGAGGGTCGGCTCCGGTGGTGGCCAGCGCCAGCAGCAGCAGCAGCAGCAGCGCACTCGTGACATCCCCCCCCACTCAGCAGCTCCGTAAGTGGTACGCTGCACGCCAGCGGGGTGGGGGTACTGGTCCGTGCGCCTACATCCTGAGCACCGGCGACCGCGCAGGTGAGCAGTGCGGGGGTGCGCACCCCATCCAGCGCTGCTTTGGCCGCCTGACGGACGCTTGGCGTCACCAGTTCCATGAGGCCACTGAGATCCCTCGCTGGGGCGAGCTGTCTAGGGCGGGAGTAGCTTTCTTTGACCTTGACTTTGATGCTATTCTTGCTGCCATGTATGCTGTGACTATTAGTGATGAGGGTGACTGTTACCGGTGTTTTCCGCCCGACCCGGGCATTGAGACTGCTGCTCTAGGTACTGGTGAGGCTGCTGCTCTTGGTGCTAGCGATGCTACTTCTCTTGGTGCTAGTGTGTCTGCTTCCTCAGGTGCTGGTGAGTCTGCTCTCTCAGGTACTGCGTCGGCTTCGGCCTCCCTCACCTTCACACTTGACTCGGGGGCTTCTCGCTCCTTCTTTCGAGACCGCACCACACTCACGCCGCTTAGTCGGCCAGTTGCAGTCTCTCTGGCAGACCCCTCTGGGGGTCCTGTCCTTGCTCACTTCTCCACTGTCCTCCCGTGTCCGGCGGCTCCCTCTGATACCCTGTCTGGTCTTTACCTCCCCTCGTTCTCTACGAACTTGGTGAGTGGTGCTGACCTACAGGATAGGGGAGTTCACCAGTTCACTCCTGCGAGCCAGCGGGTGACACACTGCATTGAGGCTCGGTCGGACCGACACTTGGCCACGTTTACACGTCAGCCGGGGTCGAGCCTGTACACACTGACGACTGAGTCTCCTCCAGTCACTATGTCTGCTCGGGTAGCTGCGTCGGGTCAGGTGTTTGCAGCAGCGTCCAGGTCTGGTCCTGAGTCTGCCCCCTGCTCGTGTCGTCTCCTGTCTCACAAGACTCTCCTTTGGCACCACCGCCTTGGTCACCCCTCCCTGCCTCGTCTCCGAGGCATGGCGTCCCGTGTCCTTGTCTCTGGTCTTCCCCGGTCCCTCCCTCCCCTTCCCCTGGGGCCTGCCCCTTCCTGCGTCCCCTGCGTCGAGGGGCGGCAGCGTGCTGCCCCTCACTCCTCCCAGGTTCCTCCGACAGAGGCCCCGCTGCAGACGCTTCACATGGACGTGTGGGGCCCATCCCGCGTCCGTGGACAGGGTCACGAGCGCTACTTCCTGCTGGTGGTTGACGACTACTCGTGTTACACCACAGTCTTCCCCTTGCGCAGCAAGGGTGATGTCACTGAGGTGTTGATCGACTGGATCCGCGCAGCTCGTCTCCAGCTCAGGCGGAGCTCCGGCTCGGATTTTCCTGTTCTGCGTCTGCACTCTGACAGAGGCGGAGAGTTCTCCTCTGGCCTCCTGCAGGCCTACTGTCGTGCACGAGGCATCCGCCAGACCCTCACGCTTCCGGACTCTCCACAGCAAAATGGGATTGCTGAGCGCCGCATTGGCATGGTCATGGACGTCGCTCGTACGTCCATGATGCATGCGGCTGCCCCCCATTTTCTGTGGCCGTTTGCGGTTCCGTACGCGGCGCATCAGATCAACCTTCAGCCCCGGGTCTCCATGCCGGAGACCTCCCCAGCCTTGCTGTGGATGGGGAAGGTTGGCGATGCGTCTGCGTTCCGGGTCTGGGGATCTCGGGCGTTTGTCCGCGACTTGTCTGCGGACAAGCTGTCCCCTCGTGCTGCTCCTTGCGTATTCCTGGGTTTCCCCCCTGACGCGCCAGGGTGGCAGTTCTACCACCCCACCTCTCGCCGTGTTCTGTCCTCCCAGGACGTCACGTTTGACGAGTCAGTCCCCTAGTACCGCCTCTTCCCCTACCGCACTACGTCCCTTCCCCCGCCACCGCTCTTCCTTATGCCAGGTCCCCCCCCGGTAGACCAACTCCCCCCTCAGGGTCCTGCCCCTTCAGGTGTGTCCCAGGTAGACGCAGTCGAGCCTGTCGAGGTTGCTGGTGACTCTGGTGCTGCTGAGGGTGCTGATTCTGGGGGTGCTAAGCCTGAGGGTACTGCTACTGGGGGTGTTGAGCCTGGGGGTGCTGAGCCTGAGGGTGCTGCGACTAGGGGTGCTGAGCCTGGGGGTGCTACACCAGGGGGTGCTGAGCCTGGGGGTGCTACGCCTGGGGGTGCTGAGCCTAGGGGTGCTACGACTGGTGGTGCTGAGCCTGAGGGTGCGGAGCCTGGGGGTGCGGAGCGTGCGGGAGCTGGGCCTGCTCGTGTCGCGTCTGGTGGTACTGTGCCTGGAGGTTCTCCGAGTGCTTCGTCTCGGCGGGAGCCACTCTCTCCACAGGAGCTGCGTGAGTGGTTTTCCCGGTGCTGGAGGCCTGCTGCTGGAGCTGGAGGTTCTTCGGCTACTGAGGGTGCTGGTGTCGTGGGTCCCGGAGGTGCTCGTACTGGGAGTGCTGGAGCTGCTGGGCCTGCGGGTACGACTGGAGCTGGAGCTACTGAGGGTGTTGGCGCTGAGGCTACTGCTGGCGGTCCTGCTGTGGTTGCTACTGGTGCTGCTGGAGGTCCTGGAGCTAATGGAGCTGCTGCGGGTACTGGAGGTGTAGGTGTTGCTGGCGCTGGTGCTCCTACTGGGGGTACTGGTGCTGTCCCTGCTGTGTCTGGAGTCGCCGCGCAGCCTCGACCGTACTTCGTTCCGCTCCTTCAGCAGGTTCTTGGTCTTCCGCCTTCTACTAGTCCTCCTCCTCCCTTAGGGTGTCCACAGCCTGTCCCGTTACAGTTACAGTTACAGCCGGCCTCCCCACTGCCTGCTCCTTCTCCCTACACTGGTCCTACTAGAGGTCTTGCTGAGCGTCGTGAGCCTGCGACTCGCCCTGCGTTGCCTGTCCGTCCTGCTCGCACGAGTGGTCGTGGTTCGCGTCCGCGTCCTCCTCCTGTCCCTGGCACGCACTGGATGTCTCTGCGTCCGTCCACTGCTCCTCTGCGTGCCCCTTTGCCTTCTCCTCCTGAGTCCTCTCTTCCTGCTCTTGCCGACCCGGAGTCGGACTCTCTTCGTGCTGCCAGTCCTACTGTCACGCGTCTCCTTGCTACTGTTGTCACTGACCCTTCCTTTGAGTCCACTGCTGCGTCTGCCCTAGTTTCTGAGCTCGTCGACTTTGCTGCTCGCTGTCGCCTAGACTACGCTGCTAGTCTTGTCGCTGAGTCTGAGTCTGTCTGTCCTCCGTCCGTCGGGGGTGAGTGTGCCCTTGGCACGGACGCCCTTGAGGACAGGCAGGAGAAGTTCCAGTGTCTGGCTGCTGCTTCACCTCATCTCGTGTCCGTACTGCTTACCCCTGAGGGAGACCCGGATGCACTTGACATCCCGACTCCGCGCTCTTACGCGGAGGCGATAGAGGGACCCTACTCCTCTCAGTGGCAGGCAGCTATGGACGCAGAGATGGCTTCCTGGAAGTCCACAGGCACCTACGTTGACGAGGTTCCCCCGCCTGGGGCGAACATCGTCAGTGGCATGTGAATTTTCAGGGTGAAGCGGCCGCCGGGTTCTCCGTCTGTCTTCAAGGCGTGTTACGTGGCTCGTGGCTTCAGTCAGCGGCAGGGAGTTGACTACTTTCAGACCTTCTCTCCCACCCCGAAGATGACCACTCTTCGGGTACTACTGCACGTAGCTGCTCACCGTGACTACGAGCTGCACTCTCTCGACTTTAGCACTGCTTTCTTGCAGGGCAGCCTGCACGAGAAGATCTGGCTGCGCCGCCCACCTGGCTTCACTGGGTATTTTCCTCCTGGCACCCAGTGGAGCCTCCGGCGGCCAGTCTACGGTCTCCGCCAGGCACCGCGTGGGTGGCACGACACACTAAGGACTACGCTTGCGGCTCTTGGGTTTGCTCCTTCTAGTGCCGACCCGTCGCTGTTTCTGCGCATCGACACCTCTCTGCCGCCGTTCTACATCCTCGTGTACGTCGACGACTTGGTCTTTGCCACAGCTGACACTGCTGGACTCGCCTATGTGAAGTCCGAGCTGCAGAAGAGACACACGTGCACAGACCTGGGTGAACTGCGCAGCTACCTTGGCTTGCAGATCACCCAGGACAGAGCACGCCGCACCATTACCCTGACTCAGTCACACATGGTGCAGCAGGTCCTTCAGCGCTTCGGCTTCACGTACTCCTCGCCTTAGGCCACTCCTCTGCCTACTCGCCACTCACTCTCAGCTCTGCCTTTGGATGAGTCCAAAGAGTCGAGTGGCCCGTATGCAGAGCTTGTTGGCTGCCTCATGTACCTGATGACCTGCACACGACCTGACCTTGTATACCCTCTTGGCATTCTCGCACGCTATGTTGCTCCTGGGAGACACAGACCGGAGCACATGGCTGCAGCGAAGAGGGTGCTGCGCTACTTGTGCAGTACGTCGGGCATGGGGCTTGTGCTTGGAGGGCGGAGTCCAGTTGTCCTCACTGAGCACGTAGACGCTTCTTGGGCTGACGACCAGGCTACTCAGCGGTCGTCACAGGGTTACACCTTCAGCCTTGGTTCCGGCTATGTTTTGTGGCGGGCTACCCGCTCGTCTTCTGTTCTCGGCTCCAGTTGTGAGGCTGAGATCTACGCAGGAGCCATGGCTGCACAGGAGCTTCGCTGGCTCACCTACCTGCTGACTGACCTCGGAGAGCCGCCTCGTTCTCCTCCGGTACTGTACGTAGACAACAAGGCCATGCTGGCCTTGTGTCGAGAGCAGAGACTGGAGCACAGAACAAAGCACATTGCTCTCCGCTACTTCCTTGCTCGTGAGCTACAGCAGCGTGGTCAGTTGCGACTTGCGTACGTGGCCTCTGAGGTCAGGGTGTTTCCAATCCCTGCGGTGGATGTGCTCGGACCGCAGTGGCACGAGGTCGATTAACTCGTGCGAGTCGCCGCTGCAGTCGGGAATGTCGAAGTCCAGGACATATACTCCATTTTCAGAGTGCGCTCGTCCGATCTGCCTGCGGGGAAAGTTTCGTGATTCGTAGTGCAGCAGGATGTCGCGTGTTTCGTGGTCCGTGCTGAGGTCGACG